GCTTTTCGGTATGTACTCATGGTAAAAATTGACTTTCCCTAAGAATTGTCGGATATTTTTTGTGTTTTAGGGGTTGGAAAATTTTTGATTGAAATTAAATTATCTTTTGCTGGTCTCACTGTATTATTTTCTATTATGTGTTCGAGATATTTCACTGATTTTGCTGCAAATGTACATTTTTTTAATTTTAACCTGAAACCTTCATTTATTATCGCGTTCAATACTCTTTTTATATGTTCTATATGTTCTTGAAATGATTCCGAAAAAATTAATATGTCATCTATGTAGTTTTCTGTGAATTCTTTAAGGTTATATTTTCTTAATATATTGGATAAAAAATTCATTGAAAAATTGCCGGTGATGTCTTTAATCCAAATGGTAGGCATGTCCATTGAAAGTGTCCATCCTGTGTTACGAATCCTGTCTTCTTTTTATCTTTAATGCGTAATGGGATCGACCAAAACGCCGAATTTATATCTAGTGTAGTAAAGTACTCGCAGTTTCTCGTTTTTATTATCAGGTCGTCTATTAGTGGAAATGGTTGAGCTTGTGGTATAATAATCTTATTTAGGTCTCTAAAGTCTATGCATAATCTAGATCTCTTCTCTTTATCTCTTTTATATGCTAGTGTCACTGGTGCCGCGAAAGGGCTGTAGGATTCCTCAACTAATCCTTTCTCTAGCAACTTCCTTACTTGCTCTTCAATTTTTTTTTTATCTTCTATTGTACATATGTACGGTCTTTTACTACAATATTTATCAACGATTAGATCTATCCTAGCTTCATAATCTGTTACCTTACCAATGTCATATTTGTCTTTTGCAAATATGGAGTTATATTCTTCTATTAGTTTTTTTATGTTAGTTTTCTTTGTATTATCTAAATGGTTTAGAATAACTTTAAATTCATTCTCTTTGATGTGTTCATTAAAATTTACGGAGTATTGTTTATTGTTATTGTAATTATCTATTTTATCTGCTTTCATTCCTAAATCTGTTTCTTTCTTCTGTGAAATTTGTAATTCTTCATTCTGTATTAATTTAAAGTTTTTTTATCATATCTAGCCCAATGATAAAATCTTGAAAGTTTTCTTCTTCAACTATGTACACGTCCATTTCTTTTTCAATATTAAATATTTTTATCTTAATTGTAATTAATCCTTTTGTTGTTCCCATACCATTAACCGATCTCAAGTATATTTTATTTGCATCATTTTTCTCCCCTTTTATTTTAATCAGTCTTAAATTTATAAGTGATACCTGAGATCCTGGATCATATGTTCCTTGAATTTCTAGCTTATCTTCTAATAATAGCTTGATCTTGATTAATGGTGTGTTTATTCGTTTTTTTTCTCGGTGTTCAGCTTTACATCAATGACTGAGCTGTTCCCTACTAAATTTGTTGTGTTGGTGTGTCTTTCTTCTTCTTTTGTTTTGAACCAGCATTTTTCTGCAGGGTGGTATCTAGTACCTTTATTTAAACTTTCGCATGTTTTGCATGGTTTTTTTTCTTCACTTTTCTTTTTATATCCAAACTCATTTTTGTGTAGATTAGATTTTTTATATATTAGATTTTCATGTTTCCTAACTTCATTAAATAAGGAGGTTGAATCTTGACATCGTTCCCTATCTATTTTGTTTATAATAAATTCTAGCAATCCAATTGCTATTAGAGTTGTCAATGTTTTTGAATCTATATCTTTATTCATGTCCAACAATAGTTTTTCTTTCTTTATTGCATAATCCGTAAGTGATCCTTCTTTATATCTAAATGATAAAGCATATTTCACCGTGCTCCATCCTTTATCCGCGAAAGTTTCTAAAAATCTACCTTTCCATTCATCCCATCCTGCCTGAACCGTTAATTTTGTTACTGTTGCCGAGTGCCAATCTGAACAAGCTTTATCTAAAAACAATCTTAGTATTTCGATTTTTCCCGTACGGAAAGAAACTATTGAAATGCTAATAGTAACTATTAGGATGATAATAGTAACTATTAAACGCCAATAGTTACAAGCAGTAATTATTACTGCAATAATTATTGCAACACTAGTAATAATTATTGCAACACTAGTGTCCACTACACAATTATTAATTATTACCAATGTGAATTATTAGAATGTAATAGTGCGTACTATTGAAATATCACTAGTACAAAGATTTAACAGTATACACTGCTATCATACCAATCATTGAATAGTGTGAACTAATAGTGTGCACAAGTTTGCAATATTAAACCAACTAATAGTGCACATTCTGTATAGTGTATACAGTTGAACATTTCGTCCTACCTTATTAGTAATGAGAGTATTACTAATAATGTGCACTAAATTGCATATTTTAATCAGTGCGTCGTAACAAAAAAAATGTTTTAAAGGTAAAAGAAGAGGTTAATAACAAAAAAATTATATATAAAAATAATAATCTTTTTTAATTTATATTTATATATATATATATATAATTGCAATTATTACATATATTTTATATGTATATACATATATATATATATATATATATATATATATCTTATAATATATATCAATATGTATATATATTAATCACGTTCAATATTATTTACGAGGCGCACAATGCAATACTTATTATCTACATTATTGTATGGAATTTTTACACATTTGGCATATAACATGTCAGGAAAGACAGCGATGAGAGAATCAGTCATGCGAGTAATGTGAAAAAAACGATTCGATGAAAGTATTGGATTGTTTGATTTACAAATTTCCATATCAATAATAGGATTAAGAATCTTTCCAATAATAACGCATCGTACATAATTTGTCCGCACAATACGAACATTAAAAATGCCGGTTATTATTATAAACATACCATTCTGTAGCAATACTGTACTGTTTTGTCGTTTTTGAAGTTTTTCATAGTTCTCGACATGCCACAATACATTTCGAAAAATGAAACGTTTGTAACAATCACACTCGTTTAATATATTTTCATGTAAAAGAGCTTCTATACAAGTTTGCTCCATTAATGTTAACATTTTTTGAACCGGTTTTCCAAATATTTTAAAATAAGGTTCATATTCTAGATAATTTTTGAATGATACATTTCACTCATTTTATAATATAAAATTTTTGCATTTTCGAAACAATCGGGTCTTGAAAATACTTTCAAACATGAATTTTCAATGCGCTTTGATCTCATATATAATTTGCATATCTGTTCCGGAACAGCTTGCGAATTTCGAAACATTTTCCTTAATACTCCGTTATAATGTTCATAAGGAAACGTAGATGTAGCCCATAGAGCCCCAAATTGTTTAACAAATTTTGGGATATGTAATAACAAATATACATTAAACTTGTAATATTCTAAGCCATATAGATTTTCTATTTTAAACACGAACATTTTCAATGCATTTTTAGCCGTCGAAAAATCTACGCCATTGATTTTTTCTTGTAGAAATATGTGCATGCTACAGATAAAAAGAAACCAGTGTCTTACATATTGTAAAGGCATTACGTTTTGTAGACAAATAAGAGAGTAATAGAGCAAGAAGTTCTTCCATTCTGATGCCTTCCATAAATTTCTTTCATTAATAGATCTGGGCGTACGAGTAATTTCACACGGTGGTTTTATTTGCAACAGCTTCTCGTCAATAAGATCTACTTTGTTTCCTATATACCAGTTTTTTTCGTGATTTGACGAGTTAAACCAAGCATCCGTAAAAGTTTTTGTAACTCCCAATAAAACAGAATGCATATAATCAGGTGTAAACGAAGATGTAATATCAAAGACCGGTAGTAGCATTAAAACTGTTGGTCCTTTCACACCGTGAGGTGTAGTTCCAGTTTGCACAGCAATTTCACAATCTACTTCATGTTGATGCAATGTGCGCAATGTTCCTTTACGTAACCAGGATATACTCTTGTCATTCCTTTACCGACTTCAATGTGAATACCTTCATGCAGGCAAAAGCTGCAACCAAAACTTCCATTATATTCAGAAATAAATATTTTTATCGGCTCTCAATATAAATAATATAAGTATGCTGTCTTCTAAGCTGGGCAATAGAGCCAAGGAAACGAAACGAAAAATTAATTAAACGGAACTGTATCTCAATTTGAGATCCCAAAGTTCCACATATAAATTAATTTCGAAACTTACATATGGAGAAATAAGCGAGAAAAATATAGGTCCGAAAAGTCGCTGAAGCGGGAATCGAACCCGCGTCTTTCACTTTCCGGGCGACTGCTCTTACCAACTAAGCTATTCAGACCCTTTCGATCCTATATTTTTCATTTGCCTTTTAGTAGATGTTAGTAAATACCGCCGTGATTAGCCCAAGGCGTGAATAAACTCAGAAATAAATATTTTTATCGGCTCTCAATATAAATAATATAAGTATGCTGTCTTCTAAGCTGGGCAATAGAGCCAAGGAAACGAAACGAAAAATTAATTAAACGGAACTGTATCTCAATTTGAGATCCCAAAGTTCCACATATAAATTAATTTCGAAACTTACATATGGAGAAATAAGCGAGAAAAATATAGGTCCGAAAAGTCGCTGAAAGACGCGGGTTCGATTCCCGCTTCAGCGACTTTTCGGACCTATATTTTTCTCGCTTATTTCTCCATATGTAAGTTTCGAAATTAATTTATATGTGGAACATTGGGATCTCAAATTGAGATACAGTTCCGTTTAATTAATTTTTCGTTTCGTTTCCGTGGCTCTATTGCCCAGCTTAGAAGACAGCATACTTATATTTTCCATTATATTGTTTTATATTTTGTAATAAAGGTCGCGCGACAGAATCTACAGGAGACGCGATTGTGTGTACTCTAATATGAATTTCTTCTTCGCCTGGCACGTTACGTGTAATGCCTACTTCATGCAATGAGATCAATTCCTCGACGAGTAAAGATAAAAACAAATTCATATCAGGTTTTTCTTTACCATACCACAAACACACAACATAATATTTTTTCTCCTTTCTCTATACGGCAATTCATTTATCATCACCTGTATAGGCCACATAGATACAGACGATGAATGAAACACTTGAACTCCGTCAGAACTGATCTGCAGCGTGATATCATGTAATTGAATTATCCCAGAATCTTTTAAAGATGTATACACTTGTCCAGAAGTTATATCAGAATAATTATCGTTTTCTTTTTGAAGCAAAGCATATTTGTCGCTGTTTACAAAATCGCGCAACTGCTGTTTTAAAGGTAAATATAGGAAATAGTTACCACTTTTTCTCAACGTATGTTTATCATATCTAAATAAATTCACAAACATTGAATTAGATGATGTAATTAAACGCGGGACGATAGTGAAAGTTCGATGGCCAAAAGACTGTGATGTGGGCCCTGTAGCAACAACAATGAAAAAAAAATTGGCCAATTGTCAATGGGAGGTGGTTGCAACAAAATTACGGGCATATGGAGGTAAGCGCGCATCAATAATATTGAATAAAAATAGTTTTATAAAATTTTAGATAAGAGCTTAGGAAGAGAGATATGAGATAACACTTTATTGAAATTTTAGGATGGATTAAAATGTGTGAGATCAGAGACAATTTAGAAAAGTATGGTATCACTGAACTTGACAGAAGTAATAGAAAACAGTTCACGAGTAAAAATAACCATACAGAATGTGATAGTAATGATGAATCAGGAGTAAAAGAAACAAAAAAGGATGCGAAACAAAAGGTATAATATACATAATTATATAGATATAAATCATGATTTTAAAAATCGCATGCTATAAAAATAAATTTATACTATTGAATAAGAGAGTATAACGATTTTTATTTATAGAAATGTATTCTAAATGTAAAAAAAGGAAAAGAACTTTTAAAACAATACAAACACAAAAAGCAGAAATATTCGTCACAGGTATTTTTTTAATTTGTGTGCGTGCGTGCGTGCGTGCGTGCGTGTGTGTGTGTGTGTGTGTGTGTGTGTGTGTGTGTGTGTGTGAATGTATATAATGTGTTCTTTAGACTTTTCCTTTGAAATGTGACAAAATAGGTTGATATATAATTTATACCACATTATAGAATAAATCGATAGATATCAGCGACGACGAATCTGGTGAAGAAAACGAAAAATCTCTCATTCATAAACAATCAAAGTCACAATCAAGAGACACGGTAGTGTCTCGCGACCAGTTAAGGGCGTAGCGGAGACACCGTGTATCTTAACGCGAGTCGGACATTTGAGTCTTTATAATATTTCGAAACCTCAATAATGGCTGAAGCAATCGAGTTTATACTAGACTTAATCGATAGATTGAGTTCGAATTATATAATAAAAGTGTCTTTATTTCTGCTCTACGTGATTTGTAAGCAGAGATATATAAATGCAAAGTCGAAATATGAAAAATTTCTATTAAGAAACGTCCCCGTCATTATCATCATCGACCACGCATACATAGTAGTATTGTGTTACACGTATTCACACGTATACAACACATGCGCACACATATATCACACGTACACAACACATGCAAGATGCATGTAGTGGTAATTTTGTCCATCTCGCACGTTTTACAACAGATGGCGATAGTGGCGCTCCGCCATATCGGCAGCGTGCGGGGTTATGTTGGCTAACTCTCTCTCTCTCTCTCTCTCTCTCTCTCTCTCTCTCTCTCTCTCTCTTTGTCACACACACACACACACTCTCTCATTCTCACTCACTCACTCACTGTTCGTCTTGTGTACTTATTTAGTACATTCATGATTAAACATCTATATGCATTAATGTGAAATTTACTTACAATTAGTTTACTTGAAATATTCAATTTCTAAAGTGTTTATCTTATAAGATAGATAAAAAAATCTGAGTAAATAATAAGAAAAAAAAACAAAAGGATTATTATTGTCATAATTTTTTATCAATTAAGTACTCAACTATCCAATAATTAAATAAATACGTACAAATGTGCGCGCGTGTACACACATACACATATTGATATTAAAGAGATTGAAGGAGAGGAAGGAGAAGATAAAAATTTAAATATTCACATATATTTTCAAATATTATATATGAATTTATAGTTTACATATCTAATTAATAATGAATTTCTAATTATATTATATTAAACATATCAAAATAAAGACATACATATATTTATCAAATGAATAAAATTATTGAATACAGACTTAAAAAATTTATTAAACATAGACTTAAAAAATTAATTAATTAAACATATTCCAAATTTAGAAAAAATAAACTTTATTTATATATGCAACAGCTTTTTAAACTAAATTTTTAAATTCTATTTTATATTAGACAATTATCTCAATCAACATCTACGTCCACATTAGCTGCACTGCAGACTACCTCTACAGCCACATTATCTGCTCCGCGGATATAGCGTTATGCCAATACGATACATTACATGTACTTACTTACTTGCCTTTACTGTACCAACTCTTGTTCTTTCCACGTAATCATGTTTTTACAGTTATCGTTTGCTGTATATCTTCCAGCAAACTTTATTTCGTGTGAAGTGTATTTAATTAATTAAATCTCTGCGAAAGATTGAGAAGATGAAGGGATAATTCAAACTATGAAGACATGGTTACATGGAAAAGACAAGAGTTGATACAATAATAAAGACATACATGTATTTGTATCCTGCTGGCATAAGGTTATAGAAGTTGATTGAGATTGAAAAATAATAATGAAAATAATAAAAAAAATAAAAACACATGTATTTGTAACGTGCTGGCATAAAGTTATAAAAGTTGATTGAGATTGAAAAATAATAATAAAAATAATTAAAAAAAGGAAATATTCAATCATCATTTAAAAGCATATTTGAAATCTGTAGAATAAACAGTTTTTGCAAAAAATGTGGAGCATTTGAGCTCTAGTAAGTCTAAAAATAAATGTAAACATCAATTAATAATAACTGATGTTATATATATATTATATATATAAACCAATTTGTTGCAATATTCACTATAAAAGGTTGTACGGGGAAGATGGCTAAAAGTGAATAATTTAAAAGATAGTTAACATAATTTTACATAAACTGAAATATTTCATAAAATAAAATATTTGTAATACTTCGAAGTTTATGTAAGATTGTAACGGCGTAGCCGTTACTAACGCCTCGCGGGCCGATCACCCGCCCGCCACTTGAGGCTATGGCGCCTAAGGCGCCCCTAAGCACAAAATCTTAACTGATACACGGGTCACCCTACCCCAGGGGCGCCCCACTACAACCCCCAGAGGCGCCCCACTACGACGCCGGCGTTACCCCCACCACAGCCTCGAGGTAGAGTGGGGGAACCGCCGGCAGGGTATATAAGCCGGCTCGACGGATGAGCCGGCACCAGTCCTGCTCCAGACCTCCTAGCCAGGCAACGGGCTTCTCGGTGTTACGCCGGGTTTCCCGGTTTCTGGCCTCCTACCTTTAGTATCGGGCAACGGGTTTCTCGTTGTTACGCCGGGTTTCCCGGTTTCCGGTCTCTTCCTGTTACACGCCGGGCAACGGGTTTCTCGTTGTTACGCCGGGTTTCCCGGTTTCCGGTCTCTTCCTGCTACACGCCGGGCAACGGGTTTCTCGTTGTTACGCCGGGTTTCCCGGTTTCCGGTCTCTTCCTGCTACACGCCGGGCAACGGGTTTCTCGTTGTTACGCCGGGTTTCCCGGTTTCCGGTCTCTTCCTGCTATACACCGGGTGACGGGTTTCTCGTCATTACGCCGGGTTTCCCGGTTTCCGGTTTCTTCATGCCATAGGCTATACGCCACCATACACCGTATCTCTAAGTTATACCGGGTAATTTGTAAATCTTTTCCGGACACCGCTACAGGCTATACGCCTCCTTATTTCGTTTATACCGAGTAGTCAGTAAGTTTCTCTATTTAGGGCTTTATGCCAACAAACATTTCGTTTATACCGAGTAGTCAGTAAGTTTCTCTATTTAGGCTTTATGCCAACAATCATTTTGTTTACTTGTTTCCTTTTGAATAAACCAAAGTATTGTTAATAAGGAATAATCGAGTCTGAATCTCCCCCTTCCTCCCGAATCCTGGAACCGGCGAGCCGATCCGCGGCGTCGGGAAAGGTGAACCGTTACATGGCGCCCGAACAGGGACCTGCCCAGTGGAGATCCCGACTCGCTTAAGCCTATCCAGATGCCCGCGTGGGTAAATCAATTATCAAAAACCGAAGCTATTGCCTTGGCCAAAAGACACGGAATCGATAGCCAAGGAACTTTAGACGAGGTCCGCCGACGCCTCCGCCGATTTGTCGGGCAAAACCCCGCGCTATTTCGAACTCACCTACCTGTGCCCACTATCAACGTCGAAATGGCCACCGGAAGCCCAACCAAAGACGAAGAAGCTACCACCCCGACACCTGTTGAACCAGCCAGGATCATGGACCAGATCCGAAAATGGGGGTGCCACTTCGAGGGCAAGGACCCCCTGGCATTCCTCGAGCGTACGGAAGAGCTGTGCCTGGGCTACGGCTACACCGACGCCCAGATGCTGTTAGGGCTACCCGAACTCTTACGGGGAGACGCCCTGCTGTGGTATCGCAACATCCGCGATACCATAGCCAGCTGGGCCGACTTTCGCCAAGCTGTCCGCCAGCAATACCTGCCAAACGGGTATGAGAGACAGATGAAAAGGACGATCCAGGGACGTCAACAACGCCCTAAAGAGTCCTTCCAAAAGTACGCCACCGAGGTCCTGACCATGATGCGGCGCGCCGGGGGATATTCACCCCTAGACCAACTGGAACAGCTCTACTCTAATTTAAATTTGCAAATGTAGAATCGTACCATAAAAAAACTTATCTTTAAAAAAAAAAGATAAACAAGATGCCAAGTCCATGCGCCATGTGAAAAAGAAATAAAAAAATTTTAGTTAAAAAAACTGGGAGCGCTGCTAAATAATATTCTAACAATATTAAAATTAAATTGTTACTTTTAAACTCATTACAGTTAAAATATGTTTTGTGTTTAAATTAATTAATGTTACTTTAAGGTGCATTGTAATTTGAAACTTAGCAGCGCGCCCAGTTTTTTTAACTAAAATTTTTTTATTTCTTTTTCACATGGCGCATGGACTTGGCATCTTGTTTATCTTTTTTTTAAAAGATAAGTTTTTTTATGGTACGATTCTACATTTGCAAATTTAAATTTTTACTGATTCATTATACGACTCTATATATGTCTGCAACTTTAATTTTCCACTGGTACAAGTTTCTACTTTCAATTTTTTTTTTATTTCATTACTTTTGTTACGATTGTACATGGGTTTATAATCGATAATTTTTTATACAATTCTATTGTACATGGGTTTGCAATGTAGGATTCTACATAAGTTTGCAATGGATAATTTTTAATACAATTCTACATGGGTTTGCAATGGTTAATTTTTCATAGGATTCTACATGAGTTTGCAATGGTTAATTTTTCATAGGATTCTACATAGGTTTGCAATGGGTACGATTCTACATGGGTTTGCAATGGTTAATTTTGCCTAGGATTCTTCATGGGTTTGCAATGATTAATTTTTCATAGGATTCTACATGGGTTTGCAATAGGATAGGATTCTACATGGGTTTGCAATGGATAATTTTTGTTAATGGCGTGCCCTTAACTGGTCGCCTTTTTTTACCTTTTTTTAAAGGTGAGTTTTTAGAGATTATTAAAAGATACAGTCATTGTATTAAATGAGGAAAACAAAAGATTACGAAGAGACAATGAAAGACTGCGCAAATTACGATCTGTCAACGAAGGTATTCTTGTTGAATATTTCCTCTTAATAATCCTCAGAAATCAAATTAAATATTCCGTTATGAAATAAAGTCAAATGATTAAAGAAAATTAATTAGAATTATATTATATTATTATTATTAATAATTATATTATTATTATTCAGAGTATTTCAATTTGTTTACTACTCAGTATAGCTCAAATTGCATTACTACAGATAAACTTTAATTTTTATCTCGATAGTTTTTTTAAATAATTGTCGAATTATTGCATTTATCAGCAATTCACCAAATAAATAGACAGATTTCTAAACAACGAGTGCAAACGTTAATCATTTCTTTACAAATACATTTCTTTATATGCTACTTTTTCGAGCGTTTTTCAATTTTGTTAGTACAATTCTTAATACAATCACACCGTTATGTATTTTTTTAGATTTGCCAAAGATAGATAAATTTATGAAAGATGTTACGGCCGACTTGCAATGTGCTTCATGGAAAACCGAATCTCTCAATAATCAGATTGATAAACTGCAACAGGTATATATTATGTAATTTTGACTTTTATTTGCATTAAATCGTATATTTGTAAATATATTGTAATATGAAACGATATATGCTAATTGTGCTTATTTGTTTTGTAGAAAGTACAAGCAATAAGTAACTGCATTATTGAACGTGAGCAAGATTATACTCCGCCTCCAGCAATGACACTAGAGTCTGATCCGATCTGGATCAGCAATAAGTTGGATCTACCAAACAATAAGTTAAAATCATTTCGAAATCAAATCGATGTATCGCCTGCAACATTGATAGTGCAAAATAACGAGTTAGAGCCAATTGTAAGTAGCGATAAGTTAATACGAGTAAAATCGTCTCAAAGATCGGATACAGATGAGTTTCGTGAATCAACATCCTCACGTGAGTCGAAACCTTCGACATCCGGACATATTCTACCGCAAAATTATAACCGAGAATCATCACCGGAAGATTTCTTTGATACTCATCCAGACGTTAGAAATAAAAATATAAAAGTAGTCAACACACATGAATTGGAAAACGTACACGAATCGAATGCAGTAGATAAAATAAAGCCTGCGGATAAGCATCAATCAATCGCAGTACGCAAGCCTAAAAATTATTTCAATTATTTTATAATGCGCTATTTAATATAGAAGTTAATATTTTTAGAATTTCGATTGAAATTTTGATTTTTAAGTGTATAGTATAAATATATTAATTGGTAGTTGGTTTTCAATTTTTATCTGATGCAATTTTGCGATGAATATGAATATCATTACATTTTATAATTATTTAAAAGTTATTTTATCATATTTTTTGTACAAAATCACAGGAAAAAACAGTCGACCTGGGAGGACCAGAACTTTGTGTGGTGAATGCTACTCGTCTTTCTTTGTGCAATCACACATCTGCCTCTAAATTGATATGCGAGATGATGTCATTGTTATTTTCAAAAGAAGAGTTGGCTACTTCCTCGCTTACAGGAACTGTGGCAAATTTTCATTGCGAAAAAGGTGTAGCCGCTAAAAAGAAACTCGATACGGTGAAAATTGAAGCTATGAAAAGTATGTGATCATAATTTGTGCGATGAAGTATTGATTTCGCATAGGTAACAATTTGAAAACCGATAAATACATGTATATATGTGCTTTCAGCATACGTTAAGAACAAATTTTCATCAGAAAAAGATTTTGATAAAATATTCCGGAAAGCAGTGCAACAGAAGTGCAATAATGCAGTTCCTCGAAATAGAGGGCCAAATAATAAAGGAGATGAAATTAAGAAGTAAGCCAGCTATGTCAAAGCGAAGAAAAAACAAAGAATGATTAATCTAAAATTATTATATTATTATTATTAGAACTATTATTTTTATTTTTAAAATTACTATTATTATATTATTATTATTAATTCGTATTAATTATTTATTAAAATTATTATTATTCTCTTTATCTATAAAATTATTCTACTAAAATATATTATTTTTCAATATTTATAATTATTAACATGATATTATTATTTGAATTTAATTATGCGAATAAAAATACAACTAGTAATTAATGTAAAATAAATAATCAGTGTTGCTTTATTTCTATATAGCAATATATTATATATAATAATAATGTATATATATATAATGTATATATATATAATGTATATATATATAATGTATATATATAATGTATATATATATACCAGTACATCACACCGTCCAGATAAGTTTGGAAACACCTAAAGTTTTAGAGTATTTAGAGACAGATAAAGCATAATCGCATGGCAGTGATATCGGCGCAGATTTTTGGTATATGGACATATCGTGTAAGACGTTTAAATGACGATATATTTCCATTTAGAACGTCTTACAATATATTCATATCAAAAATCTGCGCAGATCGCTGCCATGCGACTGTTATTTATATCTGTAAAACGTGAGATGTTTCCAAACTTATTATATGGAGGGTATATCGTATATGTATATATATATCGCGGGGAGATTATATATATACATATATACATACATACATATATATACAAATATATACAGGGTGTCCGGTAATGGTCGCCTCAACCGTCGTGTGCAGGTAGAGTAAGTTAAACCAAATAAGAAAGTCCTCTACCGTTTTGCGATTTTCGCAATAATTATTGTGTTATTAAATAAAAAAGATCGGCCAATCTAAGCGCGCGACGAGATGAGACGGTCCCCTGTCACACGATACACGGCGCGCGGCAAAGCGGAGGGAGGAGCGAACGCGATGGCTACGAACGGCGCGTAACGCTAAAGCTCCGCGACAACTATTTTCTCTCTTTCCCTTTTCATCTCACTTTCTTTACTAAAAACGAATCTTTTTATTTTCAAAATGGCATCTTGATTAATTATTGTAAAGTACAGTTTTGAAAAATTAATAATCGCATTGACATCATTTTCAACGATGTATCTCATTAAAATTTAACATGCATACAAAGCAAAATAAGAGTCTGATGCAAATCACACCATACACGGAGAGAATTTTCTCTTATTAGAATTTATCCTGAAAATCATGGTAATCGTGGGATAATATGGTGTAGGAAAAATATTATAAGAGTTTTTTTGATTAATATTTACTACATTAAAAATTATTAATATGAACATAGTAAAATTAATCGAGTACATTTTTTATTTTATTGTGGTAGATATTAATATTTTTATTGTGGTAAATATTAATCAGAAAAATTCTTATAAAATTCTTCCAGTACCTTACTGTCCCACGATTACCATGATTTTCAGGGTAAATTTTAAGAGAAAATTTTTTATGTGTAGTATTCGGATACGTTTTATCAAAATTTACGTTTTTAAAATAATTAATAAATGATAATAACGAGAGAGAGAGAGAGAGAGAGAGAGAGAGAGAGAGAGAGAGAGAGAGAGAGAGAGTGAGGAACGTTATTATCATAAATGATAACGTTCCTCACTCATTCACTCACTCTCTCTTTCTCTCTCTCTCCCTCTCTCATTATTATCATTTATTGATTATTTTAAAAAACGTAAAATTTTGATAGGATGTATTCGAATACTACACAGAGAAAATTTTTTCTTAAAATTTACTCTAAAAATGATGGTAATCGTGGGACAATGGTATTGAAAGAATTTTATAAGAATTTTTCTGATTAATATTTACTATAATAAAAATATTATAGAAAAGAAAGTGAGATGAAAAGGGAAAGAGAGAAAATAGTTGTCGCGGAGCTTTAGCGTTACGCGCCGTTCGTAGCCATCGCGTTCGCTCCTCCCTCCGCTTTGCCGCGCGCCGTGTATCGTGTGACAGGGGGCCGTCTCATCTCGTCGCGCGCTTAGATTGGCCGATCTTTTTTATTTAATAACACAATAATTATTGCGAAAATCGCAAAACGGTAGAGGACTTTCCTATTCGGTTTAACTTACTCTACCTGCACACGACGGTTGAGGCGACCATTACCTGACACCCTGTATATATATATATAATCTCCCCGAATACATACCTTACCAAGTACGTAATAGTGCGGATGTAAAACTACTACTGTGGATGTAAAACTACTAGTGCAGATGTAATACTAGTAGTGCGGATATAACACTACTAGTGCGGATGTAACACTACTAGTGTGGATGTAACACTACTAGTGCAAATTTCAATAGTACGCGAAATTACTATTGATCTAGTGTGCACTAATAGTTCTATAGTTTTCAATTCAATAGTTTCTTTCCGTACGGGTTGTTTCATCTTCTGTTATGTCAAATCTTGTACACTCTTTCTCAAATGTTTCTAGCCATTGTTTCGCATTTGAGTGCTTGCTAGTGAATTTTTCAATCTTAAACTTTTCTGAAATTTGTTTTAAATTCTTTACTTTTTCCTTCCTTTTGATGACTCTACAAGCTTTTCCAATATTTTTGTTAAATTATCATTTTGAGTTTTATCTTCTGATTTTTCCTCGTCTATTTCTTCTAAATATTGGTTCTCAAACTGCAGATTCTGGTCTTCATCTATATAGATCTTTTTTAACTCTACTGTCATCTTTATCCACACTTTTCTTTTTTGATGTCTTGTTTTTAGGGTGTTCTTTAGTTTATTGTAATTTCTGTTTTCATTAAATCCTTATGATAACCTATATATCTAAACTCTGCCGGTAGAACGTATCTTTTTCCTTCCTCTGTATTGATTGAGGTTATGGCAATTATATTTGTTTTGTCATCCTTGAGTGATGCGACTACTGCAAATTCAAATTGCAGTTTGTCCATATTAACTGAAATTGTCGTTTTATAAGACAATTATCCTTTTTGTGTTTGGTCATTCACTGATAATAATTGACACAATGTGTTTCTCTGTAAACAAAGATTGAAATTTATTCACGAGTTGGAGCTATTTACATTATTTACACGCTTACCTGTAAACAAAGAAACGACAATTAAAGCCTATTATTATCCCTTCTTTGTTTACTGACTTGATCCTCAGTCTTATACAATATCTTTTTTTGTACGGCAAAATTGAATCTTTCTTTTCTAATTCTTCCTTGTGTACATGTGTCCTTTTTTCAATCAATCAATGTCTGATCCATCAATGTAATTCATCAATGTCTGATCAATCAATCAATGTAATTCTTGTACTGCTTGTTCCATCTAGCGGGGTCTGTTCACGCGGTGCGCCGAATACGAGTGCGGCTCGTTCAAATTGAGGAAAATACATTTTCTTTACACATATATATATACAGGGTAGGCCATTTTAATCTTTCCACTAAAATTTCTCAAAATCCAAAAATTTAAGACAAAAATGTTTCAGATAAAAGTTGTATGGTTTCAAGGGGGACATGAGATGGTGTCATTGATTTGACCTTGAATAGCCATTTGAAGGTTACGTGAAGGTCAACTTCAATTTCTTAAATGGAACACTATATTTTTTCTTGCATACTTTTGTAGCTGACTTCGAGATCTTTCCAAAACACTACAATAAAATATTTTTTCATGAAGTATTTTTCGAGTTATTAAGGCTGCAAATTTGCAGTATTTTGACATAAAATACAAAATATCTTGGGAAATATTCATTTTTCGATTATCATACCTTAATACTTTTATGCACAGAATAATGAGATAAATCAGTTGATGTAAAGAAAACACATAGTTACCTTTAAAAAAAAATATGAAAATTGCAATAAGCACTTAGATAATTTTTCTTTAAGACAACTATGTGTTTTCTTTACACCAATTGATTCGTCTCATTATTCTGTGCATAAAAGTATTAAGGTATGATAATCGAAAAATGAATATTTCCCAAGATATTTTGTATTTTATGTCAAAATACTGCAAATTTGCAGCCTTAATAACTCGAAAAATACTTCATGAAAAAATATTTTATTGTAGTGTTTTGGAAAGATCTCGAAGTCAGCTACAAAAGTATGCAAGAAAAAATATAGTGTTCCATTTAAGAAATTGAAGTTGACCTTTACGTAACCTTCAAATGGCTATTCAAGGTCAAATCAATGACACCATCTCATGTCCCCCTTGAAACCATACAACTTTTATCTGAAACATTTTTGTCTTAAATTTTGGATTTTGAGAAATTTTAGTGGAAAAATTAAAATGGCCTACCCTGTATATATATATATATATATATGAGATATATTTACAAACAAAAGTATATATATATATATATATACACTTTTGTTTGTAAATATATCTTATAAAAACCAATAATTACACTACATCTCATGATATACAAACATTTTATATATATATATATATATTTATATATATATATACATATATATATATATATATATATATATATATATATATATATACCCAACTAACCATTTCTGCGGAGGCAAATGTAGGCAACAACTTTTGTTTGTATAAAACGGCCACAGATAAGAAACATATTTTGTCATTACAAACACTGTGAGCATAAATTCAGTAAATATTTCCCAACATTTGTTAGCAGACTATATTGACAAAGTGGCAATGAGTAGCAAGCAGATCTGTCGAAAGTGTTGACAACAGATTGATGCCAAAATGCAGCAGATCCTTCAGATCTAGGATTTTTCTTCAATTTGCTGAGCATTTGGCGCAAATCTGTTCTCAATTTACGATTGACAAATCTGTTCCCAGTCTGTTGCCAATCTGTCGTCGCACTGTTAGTGACAGATGTGCTCTGGCGTTGCACCCAACTTAATGTTAGGATATACTTTCAACTTTTGATTGCAATTGGAGCGCACTCGAGGACACAGTAGGCCTTGGATTCACAGAACGGGATTGGATTTCCCGATTGTTAACAATTTCCAAGCAAATGGTTAGCTGAGTATATATATATATATATATATTATATATATATATATACACTTATGT